TCAGTGCGCACAATCAGGCCAAAAAAGAAATTAAAATTATTTGAAACGATAAAAGCGTTAACGAGCTGATAAAACAGCCCAGAAATGCTATAGTTTATGCTGAATTGCAGGCGAAAAAATGTCATATTTTAAAATGTCATATATTTCTTCTTGCAAATTAGTTACATGTCTTTTCAATACATGGCGAGCAGGAGGCTGCACTCTGACGATTCCCACTCCTACCCGCATGCATTGTTCGGTCTGTGTATAGAGCTAAGGGATGAAACACAGACAGACTGCATCGTAAAATGTCTTCTTATACATAACACCTAATTCAAATCCTCTTACTCCATTATTTAAAAAAAAGCTGTCAAACGAGGAAAAACACGACTTTAAGGAGAATTATTTTGGAGTGACAACACAAATTTATTTTTGTTTTTTTGAAGCGTGAGAATAAAATGGAGTGCACCTCCATTTCCACATACTTTCGACCCATCAACAGTCAAATTATATTGGATAGTTAGCATAAAATAGTTTCAAAATAACAAGTGCCGTGTAAAAAGATATCAAAGTTTCAAAATCACAACTAAGCCCACTCACATAATCTAAAAAATTGGCCAACACACGGGCTGCCCGTACGAGGATGCGTTTTTTGCAAAGTTCCTTGCAGCTTTTTTCATTACCTGCACCGGTTTCTCCGGCAAATGCTTCTAGTTAAATTATGACTGACCGCCAGAACTGTCACGAAATACTCCTTGAAATTTCAGCTTTCTAGCTACCCTAGCTCCTGAGTTAGCAAATTACCAGAAAAAACTTTCGCGGGTCCGTACGTGGGTACCACGCATACCCGGTGTCTGAGTTTGAACTCATCTTGGATTGAGAACATCACCTTAAAATTCCAATTGTTCAGCTTCTCAGATTCCCGAATTAGAGACTTACCCGTAAAAAACTTTCACGCGCCGCACGTGGCTACCATACATACCCGAGGGCTGAGTTTGGATTTAAGGCCTACGTGGACAGTGAACGTCCCCTTAAAATTTCAGCTTTCCAGTTTCTCTGGTTTCCGAGTTAGCAGCGCGCACGTAAAAAACTTTGGCGGGCCCATACTTGGATACCACACGAGTAAGAGTGCCCATTTTGGGGATGGGGGCCCAAGCATGCATGTAGATTAAGTTCCCAAAATTTCAGTTCCGTAGCTTTTGTAGGTTTTGAGATGTAAAATCGGTACGAACACACACACAGACAACCCCTCGCCAATACGCGTTTGCTGCATTGCATAGCTGCAAAAAGCTCATAGAAAGACAGTAGCAAAAATGTGTGAGCAAACTTGCTTTTAGGCCTGTTGCAGGTTCGAATACGACGATACGTGATGCGCGGAGCACTGTCGGCGGAAGTTTTGGATGAATTTCTGCGGTGAGTAGAAGACGGAATTGCGGGTGAGGTTTCAACGAATGCAGACGTTTCTCCAACTGTGCTAACCAGGATGGTGCCAGGTGC